TTAGAAATCACTCAACTACAATATCGAGCGATCAATGGTTTTTCATTTTTTGGGACCAGATTTGGACGGGGAAGGGAGAGGTTACCTAGTATGTACCCACTTAACACCTCTGGAAGTAAAACCCTGGATTTTTYCTTCAAATATCATCAAAACTTGAAGTCAAATCGCAGAAATGAATTAACTGTCTGTTCGGAATGTTAAGTCCTTATTCCTAATGTCTATTTAACTCACAGKCAACAAGGTCGAGTAACAGGTCAAGCACAAACTGCTTACGAACTATTAATTTTTTCACTGATGGTGTGGAAGAAACTGAAGGTGGCAAGACAATGGRCGTACTGAATGACTATGAAGCCAAGAAACATGGGGTAAGAATATTCTTCATTTTTCTTTCCTTTCTTCCTTTTTTTTCCCTTCCCTCTTTACAATATATGATATAATTTTTGTTTGATGTGTTGTTCTCTCCCTTACCACAATGTTTTTTGTCCGGGTTTACCGGTTTTCCTCCCTCCATAAAATCAACATGTGAGTTGCGAATTAAGTGTATAGAATATTYGAATGTAGTAAGGTGTGTTTGGAGGATACACCGCCCCGCAAGCTAAAAGCTTTAAAACCTACCATGTCTAAATAAAAAATATATATATATTTATTTTTAAAAGTTAGCGTCAACCCAAGGGAATCTTATTGCCTTCAGTATCGTCCATTCGAATAACAGTATTTTTGTTCTAGATTCGTGTTTTTGGATACTTGGTGGGACGCGAAAAGGGAAGTCCATACAAGCCGGTCCAGAAATTTGCCTGCGCAACCAAAGGTAACACTCAYACTCCCAAATATATTTTTAAGTTGTGAAGCTGATGGTGATGATAATGGTGATGAGAATGATGGTGATGATGGTTATAATAGGGGTTGTGATGGTGTTGATTATAGTGATAATGATGGTTTTGATAGCAGTAAGTTATTTCATGTAGCCCTTAAGATGGCCGATATGACCGAAACCTTGGCAAGAAAATAGAATTCTAAACGTAGTGGATACGAAATCTTGACTCAATTTGGTTGGTGGTGTTTTCTTGTAGGTTATTTTTACACCATCGAGACCTTATCAGACGTGAGGGAGAACGTGTCGGTAAGTGTGYAAGGTCCACCAGACCTCTGAATTTGCAGCAGATGGATATGGAGTCAATGCCTCTTCCTTGGCAAAATAACACGCAAAAATACTTCACTTTAGTAACTTTCTTTWTCAATCTCGTTCCGTGGTCACTATAGACCCCTTGCACTGAGTCCCGGATGGATGTTTTTGCATAAGAAAAGACGGCTTATTTTTTTGTTAAGAACAATTCCTCTAGGAAATCAATGCAAGGGGTCACTTCGTATTCACCTTCTTTGCATGCATCACTCTATCACACGTTACCTCAGTTTTTTGTCACGTCACCAGTCTCTTTATTTTCCCACTTATTGTAGGAGTTCACACGAACTCCCATTTCGTTTTGTTCCACTTGAGCTCATATTACTTAGTCTATCAGTCATATGTTAATTCAGTTTTTACTCTCATCACCAGTCCCTTCATTTTTTCACTTATTGCAGGAATTCACACCAACTCACATTTCGTTTTGTACGACTTAAGCTCATATTTGTCGTAGCTTTTTCTTGTTTAGCTTCTGTTGCGGATAGAAAGCGACGCTAARGCTACGTCATAGCTGACTCCTGTCATTTTCGTTGACGTAAGGTGCACAAAAAAGGCCGCGGTTACAGTTATTTGGATCTAGGAAAGTAAGAATCACGTGCTAGACATGTGATGGGCATGTGCTCGGGGCGTCTGGCACCTGCCACGTTTGTTGACGTAAGGTGCACAAAAAAGGCCGCGGTTACAGTTATTTGGATCTAGGAAAGTAAGAATCACGTGCTAGACATGTGATGGGCATGTGCTCGAGGCGTCTGGCACCTGCCACGTTTGTCGACGTAAGGTGCACAAAAAAGGCCGCGGTTACAGTTATTTGGAGCTAGGAAAGTAAGGATCACGTGCTAGACATGCGCGAGGCGTCTGGCACCTGCYACGTTTGTTGACGTAAGGTGYACAAAACAGTCTGAGGTTACAGTCGGTTTARATCTAGGAAAGTAAGGATCACGTGCTGGACRTGTGCTGGACATRTGCCTGGTACGTGTTCCAATATCTGATTGCACTAATTCCATGTTTGCACTTTATCTACGCACATTAGAATTATTTAAACGTTCTGAGCCGTCCACTTGCACTCSAACGCACAAAACCCAACGACACCATTCCCACTTGGACTCCAATATATCTCGACCAATTGGTGAGTGCTCGATTATCTCTCTTACTTGCATGCTGTTGTTGTTCCAGCCGTATTTGAGTGTGTTGGGTCAGCCGCAGGGTTTCTCGCCAAGCGATTCTCGCCCCGTGACATGGACTCCGATATATCTCGATGGGGGGGTGAGTGCARATTGGCAATTTGTTGTGTTATGGTTTCTCATTCCCCTTCTTATTACAGTAGGCTGTTCTAGACATGCACCACAACCATTCCTTAGACTCTTGGTGTGTATGTCATTTATTTCCCCTCTACACCCCTCTGGGGTGTATAACTAGTCCCAGGCCCTACTCTGACAGATTTTCTTTAGATTCCAGATCTACTAGCTTGAGCTAGTACATCCCCCTTTTGACCAATCAGAGTTGAGCACAGTTGGTATTGTAAATGAGTTACCCGCACGTCTCAGTAATAAAAAGGTCGAATGATAGAAACCATGCACGCAAATTGCCAATGACAATCGACTTTTTTCTAACACTATCAAACTCTTACATTGTTTTGCTTTTCTACTGCTAATTTACGCATGCGTAACACCCGATCATCCGCTGGTTAGGGATTTTTAACCAGTGGAGGATCGGTTCTTGTCTTTCTTTCTTTTCTTCCTAYGCTTTAACATTTCTGTGTCTTTAATTTTAAAATTCCCTTGTATTAATATTAATATTTAATATTATTTCTTGCATGTCCTCGATAAATGGAACGAGGTCAAGTTTGTTGGTCGTAGATCGTAGCCTGTGTAGCAAGGGTATTTAGGCTGGGATGGAATGGAAGGGGAGAAAGAAAACATATTCTTTTCTTTCCCATCTTTCTCATTCCTAAAGACCCTGGCTACAAGGGAATGGCTTGTGTAATGGTAGCTTTTTGCAGTTGTATCTAACCATTAATTTGTCTAAAGTGTAATTCTTGGTAATAATGGGGTTTAAAGCGATACAGCATGCTGGATTATGTTGTTCGTATACCCGTGCGGTCGTTCTAACGCAGTTTAAAAGCTTCTGACTTGAGAAAAAGCCTCGTGCAGTGATATATTGGAGATAAATAGCTTGTATGTGCGATAACCCGGTTAACCGCAAAATAATTGATTTTGAAAAACCAACGCAAATTTGTAAGAGTTTGACAATGAACGTTTGGGGGAATATTACGACAAGTAATATTCAAAGAACGAGACTGAGGCGCAGATGGTRTGACTAGCGGCAAGAGKTGGATTATCAKTACGAGGACTTGCAATGTGGATTGTCAGTTAAGTGGAAAGTGTTAGTATTGGAAATGCACGTAAATTTAGAATTACGTAGCAACGGGAGCGGCGCTGGCCTCCCACCAATGCGACCACGGGTTCGACTCCCGGACTCAGTGTCATATGKGAGTTGTTTGTTGGTTCTCTCCTKTGCCTCAAGGGTTTTTCTCCAGGTTCTCCGGTTTTCCTCCCTCCGCAAAAATCAATGWCTAAATTCTAATTCGATCATGAAACAAGTCCACAAGATTGTTTACCACTGGCTATTAAGTGCCACCTTCGTAAAACAATGACGATYAATTGATGAATTCGGGATTTTTTGGTATTTGTTCTCCAGTTCTGTAGACCTTTCCGCCTTGGACATATTTTATCAACTTGTTATCATAATTATTAATRATCACGATAATATCTAGACATTGAATACCATTTGATATTTAATAGATAATTACTGAGGCACGCAGCATTCGTAGGTATAATGCAGGCAACTGAGGGCGTAGCCCGAAGCTGCCTGCATTATACCTACGAATGCTGCGTGCCGAAGTGATTATCTAGTATAATTATTGTTCTTATCGAAATCCAATTGTTTTCTTTCTAGCTTGTTTATCATAGAAACAAAGCCAATAATGAATGTCTGATTTTCCTCTATGCATTCGTTGGGATAATGCAGACTGAAAACAATGGATTTTGATAAGAACAGTAATTATTAGCATACTAGCCTACTACACAGACGTTTTTTGACAATCAGCATAAACCTTCTCGACTTTAAAAGATTCATGCTTATTGGTCAATCTTTGGGAAGGAATATTCTGCTCAAGTAAGCAGACGTTCGTTGGGAGGGAACCTTTTTGTGACAGACGACACCAAAAACCTCTGCGTTAGGAAGCTAGTAGCATACGAACCTCACCAAATCACACTGTTGCATTCCTTTGTCAAGTTGATAACATCAAAGTAGGCTGTCAGATACACCTAATTGAAAAAAAGCAGTCGGGTTCGAGAAGGTCATATCATCGAAGCTAAGACCGAAAAGGATTTTGGGTACTCCGAAATGTGTATTATATTTGCATATAGACATGTAAAAATGCACAGTAGAACAAAGTCGGTCGACCTAGATTGACAACATGCCAAAGCCATGATGCATAAAATGTGCACAGGAAGGGAAAACTGCAAAACGCATGAAATTAGCATAATTATTTGTCTTCCCATGCTCCCCTTCGGTTTTAGCTTTGATGATATAACCTTTTCTTGAACCCGACGTTTTTTTAATTAGGAGTATACAGTCATATACTATCGCTTCGTAGCTCCCTCCTGCTTGGCTTACGTAGGACGTCATGCAGTGTTTTCATTCTACATCACGAATGGTTAAGAATAGTCGCTGTTGAAATGTTTGCAGAGTGGAAACTTCAACAACTTTATTTTCTTGAACCGCAAGATAAATCTTGTGTCTGTTTCATTCTGAAGAATTCCTAAGTCATACTAACTTTGTTTTCCTTTGAACATCCTTTATTTCGTTCCCAGTTGTACTYATTTGTATGTGGCCGTTGATTGTCGTTTCAGGGACTGGGTCTAATGATCACRGTAGTCGCTCCCATCTATGATGCCGAGGTAATATAATACGTTATTAAAAAAACTGTCATAAATCTTGCGTTTGGATTGGTTGGRAGCGCGTTCTTTATGAGAGCACACAGCACGCGCGTACTTTCAGTTGCGTCATTCCTGTCCAAAATAACGGTTACTGTAATTTGTATTTTATAAAAAGCATAAAAACTTGCTTGCTTGCTGTGCTGTGCTGTGTGGAGTTATAAAGCACTTGGGGATTGGCAGAACACTCGAGAAGTGTCGAGAAACACTCCGCTACGTGTCGTGCTTYTCCTAACACTTCTGTAGTGTTCTGGCAACCTTTTCATGCTTTATGACTGCAGACAGCACGCGCGCGCGTTTTCTATTTCTTCATTAAAAAAGTGTTATAAATCTCCCGTTCTGATTGGTTGGGAGCGCGTTATTTATGAGAGCACACAGCACGCGCACTTTCTATTGCGCGATTCCTGTCCAAAATAACGGTTATTGGGATTTGTATTTTATTAATACCTCGTGCTTCTTCCAACTTTTCTCTCGTGTTCTGCCATTCCCCGTGTGTTTCATAAATACAAGTGGGAAGTGGAGTATTCCATGATGTACCTAACACTGTATAATTGTATATCTTGTTTGATTTCAGAAAAAAGACAAATTGTTGGGCGTGGTGGGTACAGATGTCGCTCTCCCTACACTCAACGATTCAGTCCCATTAGCWGAAGTAAGTGACTAATATTGGAAAACTTGAGTTTTTTTTGTGTGTGTGAGTGGGAAACCTACGGTATAACATACCGCAGCATTGAAATGGCATTCCATGAGGATGGATTATGTATTGAATGGGAAACATACGGTACTGACTTACAGCATGTACACTGTAGTACATGACGTAACACCGAAATGGCTTCCCATAAGGATGGCTATCGTATGAGTGGGAAGCATACGGTACTGACTTACAGCACGTACACGTTACGATATAATGTAACACTGAAATGGCTTCCCATAAGAACTTATCGTATGACTGAAAAGCATACGGTACTGACTGACAGCATGTAGACGGTATGATATACCGTAACATTGAAATGGCTTCCCATCGTTTTCCAGTAATTCATCCAATCGCAATGCGTAATTAGATATCACATTAATGTATATCCTCCGCAATACTCTTTCCAAACATAATTTGTAATTATATATTATAAAATGCACACCCTCGTTTTGTTAGCATCAATAAGCTTCTTGAATTCTTTATTCTTTCGTTRGCTAAAAAAACTTTACACTTTCTTCCAGATCGGCGTCAATGGATATGGATTTGCTATCAACAACAACGGGTTCATTTTGTTCCATCCATTGTTAAAAGAAGGGGTAAGTCAGGTAGTATTCCATAATTCATTCCTTCAATRCATGGGACTGTATTTGTACCAAGGTACAACCAATGTATGGGACTGTATTTGTACCAAGGTACGACCCAATGCATGGGACTGTATTTGTACCAAGGTACAACCCAATGCATGTGGGACTGTATTTGTA